AAATACAACAGCAAAAATTCTTTTTTATATTATTTTAATTAACTGAGTTTTTGGCTGTTTCGAGTATTGCCAAATACCCATTACCAGCGGTTTTGTAAATAATTCTTATATTTAATTATTCGTAAATAATTTTTTTTTTTTGAGACTGCAAATACCAGTAATCGAACTCGTACCCCGCCTAATTTGAAACTCAGAGTCAGCGCTTCTTAACCAACTGAAATTCACTTGCTGTAATAATAATTGAATTAGTTAATCATATTTTTATTTTAATTGTTCAATTCCAATACTATTCTGTTTGTTTAATTTTTTTACTAATTTCAAATATTAATATAATAAAAAATTACATATTAGCAAGTAAACAGTTTTATTGTGTCAATCAAATATATGATTATTTTCATACAAATTTATTTGATTTTTTCATAGATATTTACTCAAATCGTCATCAATAAATTTTACACATTAAGTAATATTAAGTATTTTCATTTGGAAAATAATTTTTAGCTGGCAGCAATTACTCTTTTTATGAACTTTTAACTTATGGCAATGTAATATGCCAATTAATTTTTTCTTTGATATATGTTATTTATTTACTTTTGTTAATCTTATGCAAATATAATGGATGACATATGTATTTATTTTAATGCCTACAGATTAATTCGATTTCATCAAACCCAAATGTTTGGCTCTGATATTCAAGCAAGGCTATCACTCCAACAAGCGGAGTAAATATATTTTACAAGTGAAATTTGTGATTTGCGGCCTACGTTTTTATTGCCTATAATCTTAAATGAACGAATATTAAAAGATATTGATTTATATGCCCTAAGCTGTATGATAATAAGTACTTTTTGATATCTGTACAACATACACTGAGCTTATATTATAATAATTTAAATAAGTACAAATAAGTATTTAAGTATTGACATAGATATAACCTAGAGATAAATATTAATAAAGCTTTCATTTTATTTGGTTAGCTGGACTAAAAATTGACAGAAATAAAATATCTATACTGACTATAAGAGGCGTTAAGGATAAGCTGTCTTAATATATAGATTGCCTCTAACTTTAAAACGTTTTGAAGCAAACGGGTAATACCTTTGTTTATTGATTTATCGTCCACGCTAGAAACGAAACTCATCACTAAAATAAACTCGATGCAGAATGTATCTGCTATTAAATCACTATTTTTGTAGTCAGTTTTCAGAATTTTAACACGTACAGTGGTTATGTTACTAACACAGTACTGCTATATCAGGAATGCGATATGGATAACCCCTTCTTTAAACTTTTCAAATGTTGATTCTCTAGATAAAACATAAATGATTCAAATATTGTATAGTTATTAAAGCAATATGGGTAGTTGAGAAACCAAATAAGTGAAATGTTGACTACATATATAAATATATTAATAATTATGTGATAAGCGCAGCCTGAAGGTGTGACAGGTAAAATGAAGACAACAAGTTTTGTGTGTTATTTTTGGCCTTCTATCAATTTTGGAACATAATTCTAGATACAGTTTAAGAGGGTGAAACGCACCGCTCCATATGCAACCCTTGGCTACGCCTTTAAGATTTGATTAGAAATTACAATTATTCGAAACTTAAGCCTTAAGAGCAATTTATAATATACTCGTATTCCAATCTTAGTATATGTACTATATGCTCGTAGTATAATACTTCTATTTTGCACTTACAAAATTATTTTCATTTAATGTTGTTAAATTTTGCAGTATATTTAATTATTTTATCTTTATTATGGCTTGAATATTTTTTTATAGTTAAACAATTCAATTGTTGAAGTAGCTGAGTAATTTAATAATTTAAAAAATTAATAACACTTACTTTGATACAAAAACTGTTAGTAAGTCGTAAATGCAAATAGAGGTACTTTTTATGTCGAATGAAAAAGGATTATGTCAGTTAGAGTACGTAAAATCTCACTTTGTGGCATTTGCTTTCATTGTTTGCACAGTCAACTTTTATTAGAAATTGCAGTAAAGAAGTTGCAATGATTTCCATTCATGAAGATAGAAAAACTGAAAGAACTAAATAAATAAGAGCAAACTATATAGGATATGCTAAGCACTTTTCTTTTTCCTTTAAAACAAACTTCAGCCAAAAATGCGTTAAAGTTTCAGCAGAAGAAAATGTGACTGAAGTTCTTGGCGTGATAAAAAGTGTATTGTCACCTTTCTCCATGGCTTACCTGCATATCGGATAATACATTTTTATTAAAAAAATATGAAATAAACAAAAACAAAAAGAATTTTTCATCACTTTGATTGGCATCATAAGGAAAGATAACACAAACCCAAGTGTAAATACAGCAACAATTGAACCAATTTGTGAATCAAAGAAAAGTCACGCGGGAAAAAATTCTATTGCAAATAGAAGAGACTACAGGAATCATCATTCTTCACTCATCTTTCTTTGTTGTACATTTCAAAATTTTAATCATAAAGTGTAACAACCACCTGAGGAATATTCTTGATTAAGTAAAATGCAAAATCAACAAGTTTTCTGTTTGATTTTGAATTTTTTTATGCATCATAAATATATTAGATAAAAATAAAGTAAAAAAAAAGAAATCATTGGATACATCTTATAATAATGCACAACTAACCATATGTTACTCATGTACGTCTAGACGTTATTTATAAGTTGAATTGTTATTTTTTATATGTAACTGAATTATACAAACATTGACTTACCTTTTAATGCTGGGCATATACGCTTCCAAATGCTTAAACAGCCACATCTGTGAAACTGTCCTAAGGCCAGTTCCATGTAAAACAAAGGCAATCCTCCAAATATCAACATAACGCAATAAGGTATCAAAAATGCACCACCTCCGTTCTGATAGCAAATATAAGGAAAACGCCACACATTCCCCAAGTCAACGGCGAAACCAACAACGGCCAACAGGAATTCCGCTTTTTGACCCCAGGTTTCGCGACGTCGTTCCGTAACGGAGACGACCATAACGCGCTAAAAAGAAGTACGTAAACAGGAAATTAAAATAAAGTTTCCCATTAAAATATTGTGTTATTTGAGACGATTAAAAATTGTGTTGCACTTATTTTAGTTTATGAGTGATTCGTAAGTCGGTTATCGGTTATTACAATATTAAGGATATTTTGATTTCTAGCAAAGAATTTGCTTTATTTTATTGCAATTGCAGAATATATTTACCTCATTATTTAGTTTCGGCGCTAGTGGGTCTGTTACTTTAGCTGGCGTTGAAGTATCAGCATCATCTTCATTAGAATCATCCTCATTATTTGTCGATGACTCCTTGTTATTCGTCCATGGTGCCGTTGTATTATTTGTAGTAGGAACTGCAGCAGCTTTCATCGAGTTGTTGCCAAATTCGGTGCTGTTATTCTTACTGCGATCCATAATTGCCCACTTAGTTGTGTGAAAACGTTTAGTGTTTGTTGGATTGACAATTTTTAAGTTGCATACAGGAAGGTGCAGTGTAGATGGAAATTAAAGTAACCGTGGTTTGTAGAATCTTTCAATATAAAACGGCCTTAGTGAAGCGCCCCCATCATTAATGTTTCCATGTAGTTTGCTATTGTTACGAATAGCAGAATTTTGTACCTTTAAATCATCGTTTGCCCTGAACTTTAAACAACTGTAAACAAAATAAAAATGGCCATAAGCATTTTTAAATTGCAAATATTAATTTTCATAATATAAAACTAGACTACGTATTTAAACGATCGAATGCCCAGCCCATTTGTTGTACACTGCATTATTGAGCAAACCTGTCCATGCCTATAATTTCAATCCCAATGGTAATGTATTGTAATCTGTACATTTTATTCGAGCCAATGTCAATGTCGTAAATACCCATTCATTGCACTGACCTCCGTTTATGTTAAATAGCGTAACTTTATCTTTTGGGTATTTAGGTATTGAGGAAAATTGCAAATATAGATGAAAGTATACAGTAATTGTTTGCGTGTATGTAAATAATTTTTAATATTAATGTAATGAAAAATGAATATAACAAACAGCCTATTTACCTTGCTGTTCGATGCAATGATTTGTTTGCACAAAATGCCATAAAATATTGCCGAGGGATATTTTGATAAATTAAAATATATTTCGAACTTAAACAAAAACAATTCTTATATTTATATTATTATGCTTATTAAATTTTTACATAATATCTACATAATATATTATTAGATCTACATTTGCCTGAATTAAAAAGTCTCAGTGCGGGCTAGAGCTCAATATAGAATAGCTCTAAATTTATACATTGAAAAGCCATTACGTTAACTTAACCAACCTTAGAGCAAACCTTTATCAATTAAAGTGGTACCCTTAAATATTTTAGCCCTCATTATAGATGTGAGGCGTATAATATAAAAGTTATTTACTTCATTTTATCTTAAACTTAAAGATTAAACAGTAATTAAGATTAAATTACTTATTGTTAGTCACTAATGTAATAGAACATTTAATAACTAACAAAATACTTGTTAAAAATACCATAATTAAATGAAACAAAAATTTTTAATATTATGAAATATTTTAAGATTCGTGTTGGAACTACTTATTCACCTGTGGTTGGAGACTTCTTAAAACTTATCAAATCACATTCAGTACTTCGGTCAAAACGCTATGTATCACCAAAGGCATTTGATAATGCTATATGTGATTTTAAGACAAAACTCAACAATAGATGGAATATAAATACTACAAGCCTTGGAATTCGACAAAGTTTGAATCATTTAAAAAAACATAATCCAAATATATTAAACGATTTAAAACATAACCAGAAACTTGTAAAATTATTAAGGGAAAAATATAAGTGTGAAAATAATGATGATATGCCAAAAAAAGAAATCTCAAAACCAAAAAAAAGAAAGATGAATAATATATCAAAGTCTATGGATAGTTCTACATTAAAAAGCCTTGAATCATCTGAAGAAAATAAGGTCGATAAACTTGATTCTGAAGATGTTACAATTATTTCTGATAATAATGATAATGATAGTGATAGTAATAATGAGAATGAGAATAATGATAATGATGATGATGAGTGCAGTGATATTGAAGATGATGATAATGATGATGATGAAGATGAAGATGAAAATGACGAAGAGTTCAATGAATATAATAATGTTAGCGTTAGTGAAGATTGTGAAAATGATACAATCATAACAGATCATAACTATGGACAGCAAAATTTATCATACACATGTGATAAGTGCAGTGCAAGTTATAAAACAGAAAAGAAATTGAAAAAGCACATATTTATAGAGCATAATATTGGAGATAACCCATATAAATGCAGTGGATGTAATAAGCTGTTTCGCAATGCACATAATTTTCGAACGCATTCAATTTTATGTTTGAATAGAGGGCAAAAATATATATGTCATATATGTGGTAAATATTACAGTAGATTCTCTATTAGACATCACATGCAATTACATCAAAAACCAAAATTTGAATGTAAGTTATGTCCGAAAAAGTACCACAAGCCATATCTTTTTAAGGAGCACATGAAAACACATAAACAAGCACGTGATAACATATGTGAATACTGTGGTAAGGGCTACAACACTCGTAAGAGTTTGGCTGTTCATCGCAAGGTACAGCATAATCTTACCTTTAAATGTGATATATGCAATTTAAAGCTTAGTTCCGATGCAGCAGTCGTTCGTCATAAGCAGTATATGCATTTAGCACTGGAAGGAACAAACGAAGAATTGGAGGAAAGGACTAAATTTAATCGCTATCCAAAAATTATAGATCCCGAAACTAAGAAGAAACGATACTTTTGCGAGTTATGTGAAAATACATATGCAAATTGCAGTTCGTTATTATCACACAGAAGAAATATACATAAAATTAAACCGAACAAAAAGAATATGTATCGCAAAACGGTGCTCAGGAAATGGAATAAACAAAAGGCTGCAAGCTTGCAAAATAGTGCGAAGGAAGAAACCGATGAATATATTCCGCATGATGAATATCAATATATTGAGATGAAAGAAGATGATGATATAATATTGGAAGAGACCGAGGGTGACGAGTCCTTTAATTTGTTAGATGAATATTTTGAATTAATTGATTAATTAATTGATTTTATTTTGTTGGTAGTTAAAAAATTTTTGTTAAATAAACTTAAATTTAATAAACAAATGAAATATTTTTATTTTATTTAAATACCAAATTTGTGCAATATTACCTAAAATTTAGCGTTGGTACTTATCAAAGCTATTTTTTTTTCATGCATGTTTTACTAAAAACAGTCCGTAATTATATATCGCTTGAAAATATTAAAATTAATATTCTGCAAATGTTTATACAAAATAAGTAATTAAAATTAAATTCTGTTTAAAAATAATTTAATGATTAATAATAATAAATTAATAATAGGCTTGTAGATATATCTACATATTTCTTAATTGTAATATTTTATTCGGGTATCGCCATGCAAGAACTGAAAAGGTTTATGGTCTCTTCTAGGAGGAAGAAGTAAATATATCAAGCTATTGTGTATATGCCCAGTCTTATCAGAAGTAGGACTGCAATTTTTGCAAAACTCTTTTACGAGAATTCCGAAGTACTACAAGTTATGTAAGTAGATCTTGAATTAACACTATTTGTAGCACAGAAGCCCTTTAGAAAACCAAATTAATTGAAGGGATGACATATTGAATGAAGAGCTTTATAGTAACACAACAGACCTATAAGAGTTTCATATGCTGTTTGTCGCAGAAACGCGACTGAAACCCCAATTGCAATTATTCACTCACTTGTTTGAAAACTTAAGTCTATACTGTCTAAAGAATATACAGATCGTTGAGATTCCAATTTTCCACACACTCCGATCTCTTTATACTCTACACTATGTGTGGATATAGCATACTTGTTGAGATATCAATGTTTAAATTTGTAAAATATTTATATTAACTATTCAAACAAAAACTGCATACACAATCTAACGCCAAATAGTTGGTACACGTAATTTTTACTGTGATTATTTAAACTACGAGTAAACTACAGAGCCAACTGGTGCGGCACATCCATTTTTTGTTGGTAGTTTACATGTAGAATTTATTAGTTAATAATAAATAAAATCTATGGATTGATCGGTGATACAATTTTTACATTATTACATTATTAAATAAAAAACATAAAAATATAGTTATTAGTTTTAGATTATCCCAATATGACTTTAATTGAAATAAATTTTGGACTATTTTTTTTTTTTAATTATATAAGCACCCACTAATACAACAAATGGATTCCTAAGCATGGGTTTTGGATAGGTTTTATAATTGTTCAAATTTAATTAATAGTTAATAAAACCTACACGCAGCATACATGCGTATATATAAACTAAAAATTGTAAAACAAGCCAGAGAAAAACATAATTACTTAGTTTACTCATTTATTTATTTAATTATAAACGTTCTTTTACTGTTGGTTATTTTCTTACTTTAATTCATTACAATTGATCGTTAAAAAAAAGAGTTACAGTTTTCGGTTGGGCTCTGCCTAATTAAAAAATAGTTCTTTACACAGCATATAAATTTAACTGTTTGTAAATAATAAATAAAAAGTAATTCAACAAAATATATTTAAAAAAAAATGTTTGCATAAAATGTTAAATAGAAAATATTTTTTTCTCCATTAATTAAATTAATTTTTTTTTAAACGAAATATAATATATTTTCTAATAAAAACAAATATTTTCACTATAAAAAAATATATTTGTTTTTACTAAAGAAAATGCATTTTCTTTTACTATAAAATAAAATTATTTTTTTATTACTATAAAAAAAATACTTTTTTCATGTAAAAAAAATATTTTCTGGTAACAAATAGATATTAATTTCGGTTTAATTTGCATTATACTAATATATGTATATAAACACACATTAACGCATATACATATGCAATTTAAAGGAAATTATTAACAAAATAAGTAAAAAAAATATACAATAGAATAAATATATTACACTGATTGATTCGTTATTTGAAAATTACAAAATGCAAACAAATCTTATAGTGTAATCTAATATTCAAATTTTGTACTAAAAAACTGTATAAATTAATGTAAATATATATGTACATATGTAGTTAAGTTTTCTTATATTTTGCATATAGCTCAAAGTATTCGAACACAAAAACATATGTAAGTAACAAATGACTATCATAAATATATCATTATAATAGGATTTGCCACTTTAAAATAAATTATGATATAAAAAAAAATAAGAAAATTTCGAGTTATTTCACAAAAAAATAATTTCATAAACTCGCAATCTTGTAATTTCAATATACAATTAAAATTATTATTTAATAATTAATTTTAATTGCTTATTAAGTAATAAATATATTTCATAAAAAAGTTATATTAAAAATTTAAATAGTTTAGTGCCTTTAACGCAGCCGTCGTTATAACATAAAGTTATTAACAAATTCACGATTTGTAAAAATTTTATGAAAAATTTAATATTTTACATAATAACAAGGGCAGCATTTAATAAATAGCAAAACTTTTTTATATTTATTATATGTTCATATATATTTACACCATTTAAAAATATTGCTTTGTACCACTGGTAGCTTTGTGTATAAGTTTGACTTAATAGCTTAAAGGGATGTTAAGGATGTATGAGTTCAATTATAGCATGAGAAAAGTTCTATTGTTAGTTTTATACAAATTATATAAAAATACAATAATTGTGCATTATAAATATGTGATCATGTAAAAAAATTTCAAAATTTTATATGAATATAGTTATATTAAAGTAAATACTTTGCTCAGTATATATATATATATAAGTTATATACATAATGCATATAATTACTTGATTTGTTCTTATTTTAGTTTCTTTAGTTAATTTTTATAAAACTGAGAGTTTTAGATTTTACCAATAGAAAATTGTCTTTGATTAATAGTTTTTTGTATATAAAATTTTTATAACTAATCACTAATATTTATGGCAATTTCTTAATTGAAATTATGTACTTATAATTTAAATCGAAATATACATATATATGTATATGTATATATTTACAATTGGAATATACATATAGGGTATACAAAATAGTTTATACTTAAATATATGTAAAGTTGACGAGAAAAATTTGAGTTTATTTTGCATATGATCTTTTGAAAGTAATATTTCCACTAAAGCCGAACATTTGACTTAAGTGACTGTTGGTACTTGAAGAGACGCCACTGCCAGATGAAGTACGCATGCGTTTTGATGGTGGTGACATTTTCTTAGGAGTTTGTGCGAGACGTTTGCGTTCCTTCATATATTCTGAAAAAAAAAAAAAAAAAATTAAATATTAAAAATTTTAATCAGTCATATATATAATGTGATGATATTAAAGATAAACAGAGAATGCACTAGATTATATATCTATGAATTAATATAATTTATCAACTAATTCGAACTTAAGACTATTAAAAAATAAATTATTAACTTATAAATATTATTAATTAGGGTACGAAATAAGAGACTTAAAATTTTATATTCTTTTTCGAGTTAATTTTTATGTTTAATTGCAAATAATATATAATTAAAAATTAAAATACTCTATTCTGTATTCTGCGAAATTAAACAAAATACAAAATAATTTTATACTTCCTACCATACAATAAAAATATAAAGTCTCTGAAAATTATAACATGTTTCCAAGAGCAAGCGATACTATACGCGGCGTTGAAGCTAGTCACCATGGATAACGAAGTGCTGATCACAACTCCCATCGGAACGTTTTTGTTTTCAACGAAGACAAACCAATTAGGTATCTTCAGAATGGAGAAACTACTACAAAAACAACACTAACAGCATAAATTATAATCTTTTTGAACATTTGCTTAGTTGTACAATCTTTTGCAATATATCAATTGCTATTTTTGGTTTCATTGCAACGGTGCACATGTACTTATTAAGAAAGAAGAATCAAAGAGCCTATGGAGATCATCCCTAAGTAGTTCATTTATTTGTTTTTTGAAGTACCGAAGTCTGTCACTCTATTGGCACGTGGCAGTCCCGAGGGTTGTAGATGGTGAATTGAAAAATGCCTTTACAAATTAAGAAAACAAATAATTGAAAGAAAAGGTAGTCAGTTACTTCTTACAGAAAAGGTAGACAGGCCAAAAAAGGTTTTTAAGGAGGCACACAAATGTATAGGTAAATATTAAATAATATAATATACCACTAAAATTGACTTGCATGAAATAGCGTTTATTTACGGTAAAAATATAAACATTTTTAAAAACGTAAAGTGCACATAGTTAAATTAATTAATAATTTGAAACTATTAAGTTAAAATAAAAAATATTAATTAATTTAAAAAAAGGTTCTTTAAAGTCTTCCCAATGTGTTAATTACTAAAAATATTCTTTTTTAAAACATTGATGAAGATATAATGTGATTGTAGATGCGTACAGAAGGGCCTGTTGGTTAGGTAGTTGCAGAGGCTGACCTTTCGCCTCAGATAATTCGTAGTTATTTGTCGTTTTAATACCAAATTCCTTGCAAGAAACCCCTACAGATAAGCTAAATACAGCAAGCTGAATTTATATAATTTAAAAAAATCTTACTCATTAGCAAAACCTTTGCTCCGACATACTGTCAAGAAAGTAAAGAAAGAAAATTTTCCTAAACATCCGTTCTTTTTGTTAGTTAAAGCTGGGCATTCGCAGAAAAATGAGTGACTGTTTCTTCTTCGTTCAAGTTTCTGCAACTTTTAAAAGAAGTATTGAACGAAATGCGCAGGTTTTTTACGTGTTATGCTATACACCATTGTCCGAAAAGAACAGCGGCTGGCTTTGCAGTACTACGTTCTTGGTTATAAGACCGTTTAACATGGTCTTATTGTACAAAGGCTAGGACGACTATGACGTTTTATATGTTAGGATTGACTTCCATATCTCATTATCTATCTGGAAAAACCGTCTCTACAGTTCTTAGCCGTCTCTACAGTTGAAAAAAGCGTATGAGAACAAAAAGTAAGAATGCAAATTTAAATATTATTTACAACAAAAAAAAAAAATGGCAACAACAACGATGTTATCTTGCTTATTATAGTAATTTTGTACACTAATTATTAATTTGCATTACAATTATTTGTTTTAATGGTATATAAAAAACGCATTGTAAGGTATTTAAAATAGCATTGCATATGCAAAGATCTCTAGACCTCTGTAGAGATTTATAATTTATTAATCAGACGCCATGCATGGTGTTATTAAAAATTTGTTCAAATTTAAAAAAAAAAACAACTATACACAGTATATGCGGGATTGTTAAGCTTCTGTTTAATATTTGAGATTTGACGATTTTATTCAAGCACTTCACTCTTAATAATAATAATAATAAAATAGAGAGAAAACGTTACAAAATGCAGAGTAATAATGGTTAGTTGTTTGTGTACATATTGAAAAAAATCAAATGATTGGTTAATTGATGAATTAAATGTTCAATTAATAGAACTTGTAACGGTTAGCTATAAACATGTGTATATGTTGTTGAATAGAATGATAATAGTAAACAATCAAGCATTGATCATTTACAGTAATTTAATTCATTGAAACCATTTCAATAAAGAATTTTTCTGCTAAAAATATAATGTATTGTGAATGAATATGTAATTCATGTTGCACACAGAGTAAAAGTCTGATTCATTACCGCCGTGTAACACTGCACTACTCTCCCTTTCAATAGAATACATATACATATACATATGTAGGTATATGAAATATCGATCTTACTGATCTGGCAGTTATAATAAAAAAAAAGCGTTCAACGCATCAATTTTCGAAACACGTACCAATCTTTTAAATTGTATTAAATTAAAAAAATATACATATATTCACAGCTGTTAACATTTAATTTTCCATAAGTTCAATAGAATTTTTCCAAAACACACTAAAGGGTCGGTCACTCAACCTCATGTAAATGCTTTACATTCAGTAAGCCTGCACTATACTTAGAGTTTCCGAAACATCCCCCTCCTTGAAGTGAGCATGCAATCACGCACAAGTAACAGGGATGATTTTCTTTCTGGTTTGCCGTTAGCAGATCAAAAAACGCAAACGTAAACGCAAACGCAAACCCGAAATGCAATTGACAAACTTTATGGGGGATCAAAATTGTTAAGTAACTTCTAAAACAGCTGCAGTGAACTGATATTGATGATATTTTCAAATGACGACGCGACTAGGAACACTTGTGCACGCAAAACAGCAACCCTTTAGTCATACTGAAATGGAATATCACTTTCCAACGATCATGTTTAGTTAATGCATTGCACTATAGGGTAACGAAATCACTGAAAAAGTTAACTAAAGCTATAATTATCATCAGATTTTGTTTTATACGCCACAGCATTTTCTACCTTTAGTCAACATTTAGTACTTGCAAAGGAAGACCGGAAATGGTGCACAAAAAATCCATTAAAAATCACGTAAACCATGTCAATAAAACATCAAACCCTAATTATTAAAATTTTTGAAAAAAAATTGTGCTTGTTTGAATAAAACAAAAATAGGGGAATTTATTTTTTATCAACTCCAGGAACACCTACACTTATCGGCGACTAATATGATTGAGTAAAAATTCATACCAAAAAAAAAAAAACTGAACTATTATCATATATTTTTGTACCGCAATTATAATTTCATTTGTTAAGATTTAACGTATATTTCAGTCAGAAGTTTCCCTTGAATTTCTTTAAAACTAGCAATATATACTATTTTATTGTATGCAAAATAAATTGAACTCAATAATAATAATTCATCTCAATAAAAACAAAAAAAAAATTTTTCTATAAGTCGTTTATTAATTTAAAAATTAGAAGTAACTATCTTTTTTGTTATTTATTTGTTTAAGTCCAATTATAAAATTAACGTTAAACTTGTTAGACAACTATAGCTGCGGGATAAGATGAAAGAAGTGTGGTCAGATTGGACGCACTTACTTGGAACCCCCAGGGGACTAGACGCAACAATGACCTGGAGAAGGACAGTCCAGCAGGAGACAGGCAAAGTGTTTAACGAGTTGAGAGCAATAGCACAAAATAGAAACGAGTGGAAAATTGTTGTAGACTCCTTAAGCTCAACTTTAGACTTTATAATAAAAGAACTCATTTTGAATTTTGATCAATGTAAATATGTAGTAAGGTTAATTAAATATATAAAATGACACATAAAAACCGATTTATAATTATTTATTCTTAAATTAAGTATAGAAATTGGATACTCCTGAATTATTTTGCTACTGTAAAAGTACCAAAAGGTGAATAAATAAAAAAAGGAATACTTGCTTTAAAAATGATTTACATTTAATTGTATTAAATTATAATAAAATACCACGAAAACCTTAGGTTCGCATTATCCACATAACAAAAATAATTCTATTCTAATCTTTTTCAAATGATCATAACATCAACTAATAATTTTGATCAGAACTAGTCCTTTGACAGAATTGTTTAAAATCTTTTGGAAGCTTAATTCGAGTTGCAGTGACCGCTTGCTAAGCTAACCAGGAACCGATGGAACATCAAACAAAACTATACGGATTACAAGAAGAAGTACACTTCAATTGCTTTTTTCTTAATGCACTCAGCTAGTTGATCATTAGGTCTGAACCTAAAAAAGTTTAAAGATAGAATATGTTACTCTAACTTGAATTTCTAAGTTTCCTTAATGAATCTAAGAAGATCGGGTAGAGAATGAAAGAGAGAGAGAGCATTTTTATGCTTTCACACTATAACAAAACAATCTCAAGCCAGTTCTTCCAAATACTGGGCAATAAAAGACGAATTGCTCTGTATCATATAGTATTATATCAAAATTTATTATTCGCAAGTTGCAAATATTAAGTACCTTTTTACTTGACTTCTTAATAACCTTATAATATTAAAATTTTAATAATAAATAGTTTTATTATCTCATATTCTAATATGTATTTTAACAAAAATCAAACTACGTTAATATTTTAGCAACCACTCTGCTATACTTAACAATTCCATTTCCCATAATTGATTATTGAAGCAGAAATTTGAAATATAAAAAACTTTTACGAATGCAATATTCCATAGACACTTGCATTGAGGTAAAGAATATATAATAAAACCCACATATTTTGAAATATAGCATATATTTAGAATATAAAAAAACGTGAGAATTAATTTTGTTGCGTTTGATTGAGCACAACATTTTCCCATAAGTTTTTTATAACGTTCATTTCATTTCCTGAATAGTACATTTATTAAGTGTACATAGACGTGCTTCTGCACCCTGTTTTGCATACCATTTAAATTGCTAAGACTTTTTGATTTTTAACGTTATTTTGCTGTTCAAAACCGTCAAAAATATATGCTGTGGCATATGTTAACATATATAATTTGAAAATTGTATTTAAAATTAATTTTATACTTTATAACGTAAGAAAATCAACAGCGATCTGGATCTGTCAATGAACTTTTCCAGGATGACTGAACTTAGTTAACACAATTTTAGTAATAAGATGTATTAAATTCATATAAATGTTTATATACAGACATATATATACAAACATATGTAAGCATACAATATATGTAGAATCTTATAGATAATATACAATAAGTTCTTATTTTGTGATATGTGTAAATAATTATATATCTTACCTGTTATCTTCGGTTGACGTTTACGCAAATTAGGTTTACTGCTAGGCAATGTAATTTTTGTAGTTTTATTGCTATGGCCAACTATAGTTGGAACCTTAAATGTTACTGTTGCTTCGTCCTGTGATTCATCACATGAATCCGTATCTGTTGCAGAGCTGATGAAATTTTCACGTTCAGCACGTTCATCTATTAACAAATCGATAGGAGTTGGTGGTGTTGTCACTGGACGTACATGTGCCGCACGTGTAAGTGTATACATTTCGGGTGAGTTTGTTGCCTCTTGGAAAGTCACACGTTCCCATACGAAGTGCGAATTACATTTTATTGGCATTCCATTCCGAAAATCAAAACCCCATTTTTTGGCAGCTTTTTCGTGATTCTTTTCAAGTTCATCTGATGCATATCTGAAAAGTGAATCATACGAAATGAAATTGAAATGAGATTATAGAACTATCAACAGTGCAATAGAGTATATGCAAACATAATGATTTTATTATTTACTGAATTTATTATTATTAATTATATTTAATTGCAATGATCCTACAATTCTTTTAAGATTTTAATTTTATAATTAATGTAATTACAAGTTAGGTGGACGACATCTACCGTATCCGAAAAAACTATGAGTTGTAGAAGCTTGATTACAACATTAATATACGTATTATTCAGAAAACTGATAGTGAGGATTGAAGTTGATGCTTCAGAGAAAATCGTGTTCAAAGGGACAGTGGAATGAACCCACATAGGGATCAACGAGTTTTCGGTGGAATGCTAAGATTGATGAGGCACTAACCATATTTGATCTTGGAGATTGGGCACATCTATCAGAGGCACTTTGAGAGAAGTGCTGTAACTGAAAGCCGTAACGGGTGTTTTGAATTAGCATATATAATAGAACTTATGTTTATAAATGTTTCGCTTAATATTATTTAACAATATTGTTACAATTTTTATATTTACTTTGTCCTTTCTAACTAAAAAGGATACAATTTGTTAGCTTTCTTCTCTTTTAGCACCTACTTATTAATAATCAGTCTTATTCAGAAGATATAAATATATTTATATTAAAGTCATTTATTTTCGATCAAATAGTTAATTTTCCAATATATTTCACGGATTTTCGAAAATATATTCTATCTTAATAATATTAGAATGGCTGAATATAGTCTAATAAATACGGTAACTTCGTACGTAAATAGACCAATTTTTGTGTGGAGTTGACAGAACTAATGTTGAATCTTATAGTTATAGAATATAGTTAGTTATACAATATGAATTGCACGCTTAAGGTACATCCACACTAAAGCGAATGCTTGCGAATGAACGAACTTTTTAAGGTACTATTACCTGCGAATGTTCGTTTGTTCGCTATCGTTCGATTTGGGGTGGACGCACCTTTGCGGATCAGTTATATCGAGAGCAACACGAATGATCTATATAAGGAATTGAAAAATTTTCATAAAATAATAATAGTTAATTTATTAAAAATATATAAAAATTTACTTACTTGTTTATTTCAGCAGGATTAACTGAACCGAAAAGGTCACGTTTAATGCGATTTAGTTGACGTCCACAAGATAAATTGTTGACTGCTGATGGACTGGGTCGGAGCTTACAGAACTCCGACAGTACAATTGGATTTAATACGCGAGCAGCGGACATTTCTTTATAAATGTATTTTAATAAATAATATATTAACTCACAAATGCAAAATACTGAATTGCGTCATTAAATTGTTGATGTTGAATAACCTTGAGGCAATATTTTGGTTTGTTATTTGTTAAGTGTTCTTTAAAAAGTTTTTTTTACAATTTTCTTTTGCTTTGACACTATTAAATGTCAAAATTCGCGCCAAAAATATTTCCCCAATAGTGTCTTTGAATTTGAGGTACAGTTTCGTGCTCCACCTTCACTAAACCAAAGGGGATTCAAGGGAGCAGGAGAGTATAACCAAGAGAGTAGTTATAATTTCTGTACCAAAAAACGGAGTAAATAATATATATTTTATACTTATTTATTTTCACTTTAAATTTTTTAATTAAAGTTTTTATATAGTTTTTGTTAATAAATGTTTAAGCAACCACAATTGCTTGTATTTATGCACTTGCACTGTCGTGTAGAGTTTTCTTTGATCTTCTCTTTCGTCACAATCGTAATGATTTTCATAAAATTTTTTTTCGTTAAAAAAATCGAATAGAATTTTAAAATTTGTTTTTAATAAACTTTTTATTATAAATGAATCAACTTTATAATATAAGAATTACATTATTTTATTAAAATAATTTAATATTACTTTATGTACGATATTTCACGCAAACACACTCAATTTACAACCTTTCTCGACAAACGCTCTCTTTGTACTGATTTTCAAATTTTTATTTTGTTCACAATACCAAAACTAAAAATTATTCATTGTATGAAAGCAAAAATTGTAGACAGCAAAATTTATAAAAATAAGAATTTTCGAATGTATACACAAAGCATAGCACGATAAAAATACTTTAAGTACATTATAATTTGGTGGTGGTTTTCTGTTTGCTTTTATTATTTTATTCCTTTCAAGTTATTTTTAACATAAGCGAATGTTAATAACAGTGATCCATACAGTGAAATGAAACAAACAGTTAACATTACAACAAAATGTAGAAAAAAGTTTTTTCTATGTTTTGAATCATACGTCATTTGTAATGTAGTAGAATATTGTAGTACATTAATGTTCTTGGAGTCTATAACAATTATATTAAAGACATTTGGTATTAATAATTTATTAAATATTGATCTGGTTATAAACTACAAGAAGACATATTAGCCTTTGTGAAAAGTTTATTTGACATAATATTTTATCTTTTATTTTAATTGTAATAAAAGTTGGAAATTTAGACGAAAAAGAAATATTAAAAACGAAATATTGCAAAAAGAAGTTATCCACAATGGAAACGAAATGTTATTTAATAACGTATATTCCTTTTATTTTATACAATTTATTGTATATGTTTACTTTCTATTTCTATGAAATTCTAATCAGAAAGAAAGAAATGGTATTTTTACTTAACAATAATAATGAAAATGTTTAAAGTAATTGTTTGTCCCCAAAAGTACATTTATATATGTATCAACTTATTTGTTTTCATACATTTATATAATGTTATTGTTCATATGTTATAAATTTCTGATCTTACATTTACAATTACAGCTTAATGTAATTAACATTTCTGAATGTATTTTCCATTCGTTTTCAATTTTATGCTGTGTATATATTATAACAAGTGCGAAAGCGAGATGCCGATAGACTGATAAATGAATTACTTTTATAAAATTTTTTGTATTGAAACTTTAATTTTGATGGCTTTCTCCATTACTGCTACCCGAAGAATTTTCAACAAATTTTTTTTCCAACATGTAAAAATTAGAAATAAATATTCAGTTTTATCTACATGTATGTATATATATATATATGTATATACATATAATAGTTATTTAGATTGCTCCTTTTAAATACTCACTAATAAGATTTTTTTACATCTTACTTATCGCTTTTGTTTTGTTTCTGCTATACTTTGGAGATATTTGAAATTTACTTGTTTACTTTAAAAAGTAACATGTATTTTCTGAAGTTTTTCATTATTCTTAATGTTATTTAAAACTGGATTTTTATTCTTATTTATTTTTGTTTATTTCTTGATTTCACTTTCGTTTCATGCATGAGATTGAAGTTTATTCTAAAAGTTGGAGATATTTGGGTGTAGTTTTATCTGAAAAAAAGAAAGTGGTCGTGAAGTGAG